GATCGAGCAACGATCAAATTTCGACCGTTGTACTATTTGTATTTTGCCTACAGGCACGAAACTTGGTTTGGTTTTCTTTGCTTTTCCTAGCCATGCTGATGAGACCTGATAGGTCGAAACGCGTCTATGGATGGAAAAGCAGAGAAAATCAAGCCAAAAATGTTCTCATCATCAGTGGATAATAGGATTTCCTATTCTGGGTTTTCCCACGAACTGAATTTTGGTCGGCCGATTAGATAGTCAGTCACTATATTGCAGCAAAAATTGCTGTTTAGTGTTGAATCTTTGTCTTAGATGGCGCCACGATCAAATTTCGACCGTTGTACTATTCACAACAATATTTAATCCAAGTGGAGCTTTGAATGGGACTTTTGTTTCTGCAAGGGTCACATTCAAAGCGCCACTTGGAATAAACATCCCTTAAGTTATACCGGTGCAAATGGCCGTATGTCATCTGCGTAAGCTATTGTGTAGTGGTTGTCATTGTTTAGGCGGACAATGAGGCTGTCCAAAACTGTGTTCCACAGGAGAGGTGAGCCTCTTGTGAACATTCCTTTAATGTTGACGTCCTGCACAGTGCACACTTATCTGTACAATTCTTTTGGAAAACATATTGAATATCCATCCGGTAACAGTTTCCGGAGTATTCCTTTCTGATGGCGAGTGGCAAATTTTTTGAGAGGTGGTTTTTTCAAAGGTCCCCTTGTCGATGAAAACCCCGAGGGCGGACTCTCTGTTGTCCAGCGCTTTTTCCATTTGCCCAGCAACCCGGTAGAGGGCTGTGACCGTTGATCTCCCAAGGGTGTATGCACGTTGATTAGGGTGAAGTGGATTGGTTGATAACACTTCATCCCGCATAGCCTCTTCATTGTTTTTAGAGAAAATGAGTGGTTTATAGGGCGATATGTCTTGGGGGTGGTGTAGTCCCTCCTCCCTGGTTAGGGTAGGAACACCACTTTAACTTCTCTCCAAGGGTATGTATCTCAGCCCCAAGGACGCCCTGAACATCCCTACCAGGTGTGGCAAGAGTGGCTTCAGACCCCACTGAAGTAGGGCTGGATAGATGCCCTCAGGTCCTGGTGCTTTGAAGGCGGAGAAGCCTGAAATTGCCCAACCTATTTTTTCCTCGTATATTATTTGATTCGCTAGTTGCCAATCAGCCACAGAGGGTATGTATGTTATCTGCGTCTGATCCTCCACAATTGTGGTTGAGGAGTCAGGAAAGCGGCTAGTAGTAACTCTGTGCTTTCTTGAAAGTTGGCAGTGAAGGTGCCATCCTCCTTGCACAGTATACCAATTTCCCGAGATGGGTCTTTATTAAGAGCTTTCTGAAGTCTCGCCGTATAGTTTTCTATTTCGTTGCAGTATGTCCTCCAGGCATCTCTTTGTTTTTCTCGTACGACTTTTTTTATACTGGTTGAGTTGGTACCTATAAAGGTTCCATTGCTCAGGTAGTTTGGTGTTTTTAGCTTTATTGGAAGCTTTCTTGTCGTCGCCCTGAGGTGTTCCAGTTCCTGACATCACCAAGCAAAGGTGTTACCAGAGTTTTGGAACATCCTCAGTGGGATCGGCATCTTATAGAATTTTATGATGGTACCTTGGATGGTATTGGCATACCGCTCCAATTCTTGGTCATCTTTGGATGTTTTAACTGTAACCTCTCGTAGAGCCCTTTCCAGACCTTGCACGTACTGTGCAATATTGGTTTTTCTTGGGTGACGATAATGTCTTGTGGTTTTAGGCGAGCAGTTTGATGTGAAAATTATCCATCGGTGATCCGACATGGAAACTTCATCAGATATGCGCTAATTATGGATTGAGTTGGTTGCCGAAGCCGTCCTACTGTAGTGCAGGTTACACTGAACAAAATTAAATTTACCTTACCAAGTCAAGCTTCCCCTCGGCCCATGGTGTTTCAACTTTGAAACTTGGGGGAATTTTATTGTGGCTCCCCATTCAGATTGAGTTATCCTTGGCTTCATCTACCGTCCTCGTTCCATTGAAAGGAAACGGGAGCAGTGATTACTAGGCCCCCTTACCAACGGCGAGGTCTTAATTAGGGAGCATGATAATGCATGATAATCTAGTACAAAATATCTTTGTCTGTTTTGACAAAACATCTAAAGATCTTGTTAGCAAAGTGAAATGGAGTTCCTCTTAATTTGGCAACCTTGTCAGGCATTAATTTATATGTTTGAGGCAAATTATACATCTTAAAACTTTCATAGATGATTGAGTTCTCATGAAGTGTAATTACTTATGGGTGTCAGCAGTCCTAATCTATTATCATTTCGTCCGTTATGTTGTTATTTCTATATAGACCCTGAGATAGGGCCTGTTTAGTGGAGTCATTTTTTTTTTGTCTGGCATTTTGAGGGATGAATGTGGCTAGTTAGCTGATGAGAATATAAGTGGTTTTAATGCCTGCCTCCTGTTCGAAAAGTCCACAGAATGTTTCACCAGAAAACTCGATTTCGAACTGTGATTACCGTCTGACGATTTTTCAGCGTTATTTTCACAACAAAACCTTTCATTCTCTCGTTTGCTAGACAAAAAGTAAACGCGGAAGGTTCTTTTCTTTTCTCTTGGAAGTTGATACCCATCCCCATTTTTTCAGCTATTGGAAAGCATCTGGTATTTTTCATGGATGAATTATTTATCAATGTCAATCTTTTATTTAACAGCTAGAAAATTTGAGATCATTAAAAAAATAAATCAATTTTTTTCTTCTGCAAATTTTCGAACAGGAGGCCAACCTAAGAGGCCAACAATAAAATCACCCATATTCTCATCAGCTTAGTAGCCACATTCAGCCCTCAAAATGCCAGACAAAAAAAAATGACTCCACTAAACAGCCCCTATCTCACAGTCTAATACTAACAGGAAGCAGAAACCATCAAATGTTTGAATTTCCGAAATGAATTATGAATTGAAATGCTGAAAAATAGAATTTTCGCTGACTACAACAATGTTACTTAAGAGTCTCAAGACCTACGAAATATGATCCTTTTGCCTTTTTCATATTATAAGCAGAGATAAAGGTCTAGTGCTGATTTCGCTTTATGTATATGATACTCTAACAGATTCTAGACGGGTAAAAAGCCAACACGAAACGTTAGCCAAGGACTTTGAAATTAGATATTTAGAGAATTTGAAGCTGAATTTAATCAAGAAGGAAATGGAAATATGTATTCAATGATGCCTTTGCAATAGAAATTGTACCTGATATTACTAAATCAATACCTAAGCGTCAAATTTGTGTTAAGATAACGGCATTTAAATTATTTGGAAATTAGACCAGCAGCAATCCAAAGAGAAGGGTTGAGATTACATCACCTCATGTATGCAACGTGAAGATAATACTGGATACATTATTATTTGTCAAAAATCATAATTTAAATAATTTTTAGTTGTTATAAGTTTGTCTTTTCCGGTAAATATATTGAGTAGTAAATAAATTATTTATTTCTCATATCCTTGTTTGCTTCTGCAAATTCTGCCTTCTCATTTTGAAAAGAACTTTATCCTCGACTTTATCATTCAATAATAATATAAAAGTATTATGTATTATATATCGAAGGTGAAAAGCCTTCCATTACTGTCAAGAGGTTATAGGAAACGTCTAAATTGATTTGATCTTTAGTATATAGCCTTTCAGAACATTCAAAAAAGGTAGTAAAATCAACATTACGTATTATGGTGGTAAATGAACTTTTACATCGTTGTTGAACAAAATGTTTTAATATTTTTTTCACAAGAATCCCTCAAATAGAAATAACACAATGAAGCAGCCTTTCGGAACAGAAAATTAGTTTCGATCTTGTTATAGCTTCGACAAAGAACCTAAAATTAGTCATTGTAGTCTGCATTGAAATGGTTATTTTTACGTTTAATTTTCAACCCTATTATATTGGTAGTTTTTGTTTAAATTATTATTCCTAATCCAACACAAAACTTCAACAATGCAACTTCAGTGAAGCCCTATTTAAATATAACAATGGTTTTCACATATTTCCTCCAGGCTTTGGATAATTAGTGGGAACTGGCAAAAGAAAATGGGTAAAGTGAAGACGCCTACAGAACCCTCTCATTATGCTTATGAATTGGGCCAACTTAAACTAGAATGGGAATTTCGAGACCACTTTGCGACTAAATGAAAATATAAAACAATTCTGGCCTTGTAACTCTTATCATTATGATTTTGTGAAGTGGCGTATTGCAGCTACCGTATCCCGTTTCGTTCCCTAGGGACTCAATGTGTGCCTTGTTACAAAACAACAAGTCAATTGTTCTTAGAAGCGGAAAGTTGGTTTATTTAATATAAATTACTTTAGTGTACCTAGTGTGTGTTGATTTCAATAAATTTTTGAGAAAAAAGGTAAAAATTCATGACAATTATTATATTTTTCGTCAAACGAAAATAAAATGTAAATAAAACCAATTAGTGCCTGCTTTACAAGGAAAACTGCTTGCCTGAGCTGTTCAAGCTATAATTGCGTGGAAAGCGCCACTTATATAATAAGCCCTTATCGTCTATTATTAATCTTGTAAGCCTAATGGATGTTTGTTTACTTTTGATTAAATCACCTCCCTTTCAATTAATGAAAGTAGAATTATATCAATATGTATTACGAGAGGAAGCGAAATAAAATTAAATTCGTAATTCACATCTATTCAATTTGTCGAGAATAGGCAATTACCCTGGAATTAATTCGAAATTGTAAATAAATAAATAACAGAACACACAATGAAAATCGATACTTCCAATGTCGTTCCATTGCTAGGTCTTTAATTATTAAAAAATTCAGTGTTAAATTAAATATGTAGAAGTTTGTGCATTATTTTGTCGATATTGAAAATACTTGTAGCTGAATAATTTAATCTGAAAAAGTTTGAAATTTGAGCCGTTAATGGGAAAACTTTCGGTAGAAGCTCGGGACGCTCTTTAAAGATTGAAAACTGAACTCTTAACTCATTAACTTAGAAAACTCGGTTTACAGGTCGGTTCAGCCAACGGTATAGCCCTGCAGCTGTATGGTCCTCACATTCAGCCCCGGCATTGCGTCATAACCAATGCCGAAGGTGTGACTTCATTGACGCCATGTCACGCTGACGCTCACACCTATGTCAACGGACAGCGGATACATCAAACCACCATTTTGACTAATGGTAGTCTGGTCAAGTTTGGGAATAGCAATACATATAGGTGAGATTGAATTTTGTTTATGGTGTAACTAGGCGTTTTTTTTTGCCATTTTATTGTACCAGTATTATGTTTTTGGTTTGGTAATTCAACATTACGGGCATAGGCAACTTGACATACATATAGACAAAATATTTAACAAAAAAATCCATGTATAGTCTTTTTAAAGTCAATTGAAACAAGGTAAAAATAAATTGCAACTGGTGGCTGACTAGTGGCAGTGCATTTCTTATGAAAGTATTCAATCAACAGTCAGCCACCAGTTGTGATTTATTTTTACCTTGTTTCAACTGACTTTAAAAAGACTATAACAAGATGAAATAAAATATTCTAGGATACACACAACCTCAATATTATGAGCTTGTGACATAAATAGCTACTTCACTACTAGTCTAGGAAAATAGTCGAAAAATACATGTATTGCAAAAAAAAAAATCCTACCCAAATGAACTTTTCAGGGATGATAGGGGGCGGGTGGGTGATCATAAAACCGAAGATATCACACATTCACCCCTCTGGCGTTTGGCGCTATAGGGGTTGAAAGTGCGCCATTGGCGATTACTTGGTACCTATTGATTTTACAAAAAAATGTTTCAAATAAAAGATGTGCAACATTATTTGATCTACAATGTTTATCTAAAGACTTTTTTGATTAAGGGCCGTCTGTGGTCATAAGGGCCGTTTGAAATTTTATAATGAAAATGAAAAATTTTAACCAACGTGAAAAATTTTTCCACAACACATACAACATTTTTGCTTTATGAAGTTTTTACTCACCCCCTGCCGTTTTTCAATAGGGGTAGTTTAAAGTTTATTTATTTTTTCACAAAAAAAATTTCCTTATAAAAGTTTTATAAGATTACATTTCCTACAATTTTTCCCAATAAACTTTTTTTGTAACTCATCCCCATTCAGCGGGGGGACACTTCCCTTAGGGAAATTTTAGTTTTTAGGGGTATATATATATATTTTTTTCTTTTCTCGCCTTTAGTGCATATAAAAAGGTGCAATTAACATTGTATTAAAATAACTTTTTTTCTACCACCTTTTTGTTTTTAGGGGTAGTTCGCCTATTTTCAACTTTAGAAAAAAAAGTTATGGAGGAAAGTTGCTCAAAATAATAAAATGAACAAGTTTTCTTTATAATTTTTTTTTTTGTAAAGTTGAAAATAGGCGAACTACCCCTAAAAACAAAAAGGTGGTGAAAAAAAAATCCTTTTATTACAATGTTAATTGCAACTTTTTATATGCACTAAAGGCGAGAAAAGAAAAAAAAAATAATATATACCCCTAAAAACTGAAAATTTCCCGAGGGAAGTGTCCCCCCGCTGAATGGGGGTGAGTTACAAAAAAAGTTGATTAGGAAAAATTGTAGGAAATGTCATCTTATAAAACTTTTATTGAGAATTTTTTTTTGTAAAAAAATTAAAAAAACTTTAAACTACCCCTATTGAAAAACGGCAGTAAAAACTTCATGAAGCAAAAATGTTGTATGAGTTGTAGAAAATTTTTTCACGTTGGTTAAAATTTTTCATTTTCATTATAAAATTTCAAACGGCCCTTATGACTACAGACGGCCCCTAATCAAAAAAGTCTTCAGATAAACATTGTAGATCAAATAATGTTGCACATCTTTTATTTGAAATATTTTTTTGTAAAATCAATAGGTACCAAGTAATCGCCAATGGCGCACTTTCAACCCCTATAGCGCCAAACGCTAGAGGGGTGAATGTTTGATATTTTCGGTTTTATGATCACCCACCCTCCCCCTATCATCCCTGAAAAGTTCTTTTGGGTAGGATTTTTTTTTGAAAATCGACAATTTTCCTAGACTATACTTGTTTTGGTATCACTGTGTGCTCGTAGATCTGGTTTTGGTACTTATCTAATCAGAAAATCGATACGCCTATTTGTTATTATTATGTCATACTCATAATATTATAGGTTTAGAATTATATTTCCATTATAAAATAATATTTTTCATAGATTTGTTGATCCAACTCATGAAGATAGAACAAGACACCCTTTGGGAAGCATAGACAACCAAACAAGGATATATGAGAGGTAAGCAGACATTTCAAATATTCGAAATACGTACATATTTCTTTGCTTATTTTTGGTTTGTGTGTGTGTGTGTTTTTTTTCTTTTATTCAGTTCTGTCAATTAATAATCTAAAATGGATTTTTTGACTTATTTTATTGTGTATCCAAAGGGTAAATCAGAAGCTCATATATTTTGAAAATATTGTCCAAATCTTCTAATTGAAAAAAATCCATTTTGGTTTGTTCTATTATAATTTTTTTTTTATTATTATTTTTGTTTTGCTTTACCTTTGCATAATTATTAGCCGATCCCCTCGTACACTTAGTCCTACACAAGGCTCTAGAGAAAACATTGAAACCACTTTTGACATTGACGGAAATGTTGAAACCGTTTCCACCCATAGCGGCGCTAGAGAGGATAGTAGATCCTTAGGATCCGATAGTAGATCGGAAAATAGGTATTTTCAAACACAATTTGACTAGCTCTCAGTTTTTCCTGTCTCATTCTTGGCACAATTGACCAGAGTGTGACAAGATTAAATTGAGATTAGCTCAGAGGCATGTAAAAATAAAAATTCCTTCTAGATTGAGTGGCATGGATCGATATCCTAGAGGCCAAGATCCAATTCTACCAGCGGTCCTAGAATTCCCAGAAGACCCCCAAGAGCAATTTCTAGCTAGAGTTATTACACATCTTGACGTCACCACACCTACTTTCAGGCTAGCACCAGCCTATACCCTTTATTTATGTGCCAGATACCGAGCGTCAACTCATTATAGACCAGAACTCACCCCAACTGAGCGGGCTCATAAGCTCACTCTACTACTACAACATGCGGCCATGTTAATACGTCATACAGTTCAGGATAGGAGCACAGAAAGTACTTCTCAAGCTTTCTGGCTGGCCAACGCTAGTGAGCTGTTGCATTTTTTGAAAAGTGACAGGCACGTTAGTGCGTTTTCATTGCAGGCTCAGGACACGTTAGCTGATGCTGTCCAATTATCATTTAAGGTAAGATAAATTTTTTGAGGCCACGTGATATTCATTTCAAACTGTTTCTTTTTAGAATCTAGTTGCATGTTTGACAGACGAACTCAATTCTGGAATGGCCTATTTGATGTCCGTTACTGGAGATGACCATCCTAGGGAAGTAATCAATATTCTTAGTGGAGCAATGAATTTATTAAGAAAGTGTAGAGTGAATGCTGCATTGACAATACAGGTGAAACTAATTTTTAAAAATTACTCAATTTATTGAAACATAAAATCATTTCAGCTCTTCTCTCAATTATTCCATTGGATCTCGGCGAAAGCCCTAACAAACGTCATCTCTAACGGTAACTTGTGTACCAGAAATTTTGGCAACAAATTGGCGAATCGCCTACGTAACCTGCAAGCTTGGGCAGAATCTCAAGGCCTAGAATTAGCTGCCGAATGTCATTTGGCTAAAATAGTCCAGTGCGCCCATTTATTGCAGGCAAACAAATTTACACCCGACGATTTGGCCAATCTAAGTGCGGCTTGTTTCAAGTTAAACTCGATGCAACTTGGTGCTTTGTTGATGCAATACAAAGGTGAGAATTTTCAATTATAATAATTACTTAATTTATGGTAATTATTTTGGTTTTTTAGCTGAACAAGGTGAAAAAATCGCATCGCCATCTCTTCTGGAACAAGCCTCAAAAGCTGCCGAAAGCGTTGCGGACGAATTGGCGCGCGCAGAAGGGCGAGAGGTGACTTTGTACGAAGATCCCGCTCCGCCGCTGCAACTACTTCTACCTGACGATGGATTTAGCTGTGATGTTGTACAGGGCGTGCCTCCAGGTCTCGCGGACTTTTTGCACCCCCTACAAAGTGCAGGTCTTTGTAGATTGGCCGCCCAACCCACCAGTTCTGGACATTGGACTGTTTATATGAACGCTCCCAGGCCTCCCAGTGCTATGAGTAGTACTCAACCAGAGGTAACAAGAAAATTTCTAACTTTTTGTAAAAGTTTTTAACTATATTATGAGTTGTGTATAAGGTTTTGAATTTCAAATATTTCGGCAACAGAAAGATCTCACTTTGTAACATATTAATACTAACTTCATACATACTGGTCTGGCAAGTGAACATCTTACAGGCCAATTTTAATGAAATGTAAGTCATTGAATGAACCAAAGAATCACCTCCTTCCGTTTGTACATGATATTTAGGAACACCCCACTAAGATGGGTAAGGTACGATATTATGAAAACCATAGACCGACTTCGGGATTTTTTATGAAATTGATGGAAATTATTTTCAAGTTTCTACGATAACCGCTAGGGGGCACAATTACAGTACCAAATTACATCGTTTGGAGAACCTCACTTGACTTGCAAATTACTTTGAGGGTGGTATAAGGGGGTGAAACTAATAATTGCGATTTATCGAAAAAATAGTTTTTGTGAAAATTTCGACATTTCAAACCTAGTCTCGGGCACAAACAGTACTGGAAATTATGAGCACTACCAAAATACATCGTTTGGGGAACCTCTCATTTGACTTGCAAATTACTTCGGTTATAGTTAGTCTTGTGACGTCATGAGTTTTAACACTGGCTAGAAACTGCGTCCATGTTTCCAGCGAACTACGAATAACATGACGTCATGAGTTTCTCGCGAAAGCGTTTGTGTTCACGAAATCATGGAAGTAGTTCGTAGTTCGTCTCGAAAATTTGGTTATAATCTGATTATGCTAGATTATGTGATGTGTCAATTGTGTCCTCATCAAATTTTGGGCCTGCGAGTGACGTCACTATCAAGAGCTTATAGTGATGACGTCATCCACAGACCACGATGGAATGCTCGCGATACGGGCTGTGCCAGTGAGTAGATTTTTACGTCGATTTAAATATAGAAAAGGTGATTTTCGGTCTGTTCTCACAGAAGAAAAATAATTGTTCTTGATCCTCGAGTATCCCAGAATTTGATGGTGAGGGAGTTAGGGGAGTATGACACAATTGTCACATCACATAATCCAGCATAATCGATTATGCTTGACTATCCTTGCGAAAAATTGCCTATCATTGAACACTTCAGAACCAGCTCACTATAGAGCACTAAAGTCTGTTTTTTTTTTTTGGTAATTCCCCAAGTCAAAAATTTAGTAACCATGTTGACAACACAAGCCTTTTCTACATAAAATTTTTTATAGCATTGACAATTTTACATTGTATTGCCAACATAATGTCATTTTGACTTTTATCTTTAAAAAAAAACCAGATTTTAGGTATACTTGTTAAATCCCTTAAATTGGTAGAACTGGTTCGGAATCCATCCTGAACTGAATCTAGCTGTAAAGCCAACAAAGAAGTAGCCAAAAATTTGGAATTTAGTGATCCACGAACCACGAATAATAGAATTTCAATTTGCTCCAGTAGCAAATAGTTCCCGAATTCTTATCGCAAACCAATCTATGGTTGGATCATGGTTGGATCACAATTCCAATTTTTTGACTCCTGTTCTGGAACCATTCGTAGTGAGATAAAAGGTTTGTTTGTTTCTGTCGCACTAACTTGAACTAAGCTGTAAATTTCAGATTATGGCAGATACACCTATATAAAACGCTCACAAACGAACGCCCCAAAGCAAGAAGTGCTGCCCTGAACAACAGAAACAAACAAACCTAAAGATAACATCCTGAACTAAGTTCATAAATTCTTCTGCTTCACGGTAACAGCTTAGTTTTGGTTCGAAATTTGGAATGGTTCTTGGATTGCGCAGAACTGCTTGCGCACAAAAAGTAATAGAGGACTGTTCTAATACTAATTCTGAACCGATTCGGAACCAAAAAAAAAAACAAAACACGCCGCAAATCACATTTTAAAACAGTTCCTCCTTCAGAGCAAGAACTGAGAGAACCATTCTAGAACAATCCCAGAATGGTTCTTAAATAAATTTTAGTTTTAGATAAACCAAAACACTGTCAACACAGTTCGATTACGATTCTGAAAAAATGAAAACGCGTTTTATAATATGCGCATGTGCAGAATGATTCCGAACTAGTTCTGAGTGAAACCAAAACAAAGCTATTATTGAATTGTTTCCAGAGTGGTTCGAAATGTGATCTGCGAGCAAGACGAACCAAGTTATTGACGGGTAATAATCAATAGATAGTTCCAAGTTTCTGATTCTTGTTTGCAGTATTATGAAATCGTGAACTGGGTTCATTATAATCAGTCAACCGTTCTAAGGATAATCCCGAATAAATTCATTGCAGAGTGATTCGGAATGTTCTTCGCGAACAAGGTTAGTACGTTAGTGCATGTGATTCGTAAACACAAGCTGGGTTCGGCTATTCAGCGCGGAGTTGGAGTGGAGTGAACAGAGCTACTGGAGTCACCCCTAATACGGTAAAAAGCAATATCCGAACCTTAACCCAAACGGCTGGAGTGCGAATGGAGTCACTCGGAGTGCACGGAGTGAGCAAGCCGAACCCACCTACAATATTCAAGATTAACGTAGAGCACATTTCTCATATGAACCTGTCCCGGATTCCGAACTCACGATTCTATAGTATCGTCTATCGTCAGAACAAAAATGCGATTCTGACCATATACGACAATCGTGTAAGTATTGTGGGTAGCTTACATTCTGACGACAACCAGACGACAGCCTATGCCTTGTCGAGTTGTTACGGTGGAGCCTTTCTGTTCTACTTTAAAACCCGTTTTCTCGTTTTTCTTGAGCCTTTAACAAGCTGTATATCAAAATCCAACATAAAATTATTATATTCCATTACCTATATTATTGATACCTAGACAAAAAGTTAGTAATAAATATAGGTACCTACTAAAAACTATTACTATGCGCTGGCACAAAAGAATCAAAAGAGCGCACGGGCAAAAGAGCGCACGAAATTGCAGACTTACCCAAACTTACCGATAATAATCTCTCCGCTTAGTGCAATTAAGTTCTTGTAAGTTAGCATTTTATTTGAATAACAAAACGCGCTTAAGGGAAATTACACACTATAACTAAATTAATTTTATTTATTTTTTAAATGAAATGGTAACTTATAAGAATTAGGTCGCACTAGGTGGACGGGTGATTATCGGTAAGTTTGGGTAAGTCTGCATTTTCTTAATTGATAGTATGCTAATGAGCTCTAATTTATGATCTAATTGTGCTCTTGGCGATTACATATCTAATTTTAGGAAAACAGTCAATGCGCGCTCATTGCGCTTTTTTGTCCGTGCGCTCTTTCGACCCTAGGTTCTTTTGTCCGTGCGCTTTTTTGACCCTGTCACTTTTGTCCGTGCGCTCTTTTGTCCGCGCCCTATTTTGACCTGCGCTCTTTTGTCCGCGCTCTTTTGATTTGCGCCTTTGTGTACCAGCGCCCATTATTTAAAGTAAATATTATTTGCAGAAAAAGAAAAAGTATCTCGTTTTAGGGAGATGCTTCCTGTATTTGCTGACAGAGCTAGAAGAATTGTAGAAGAAGAAAACCGAAGGAATTCTAACCTCAAGTTATTACGATTGAGAACAACACTTCGGAATAAAATTCATGCATTCGATTTGTCTGATAGAAGGTTTACTGAACTTTTCCGATTGAATAAAGAGTTGGTGCGTACCTAATTTAATTGAACAAGTAGCACCTCATAATAATGAACCAATTTTGCGAAGGGGAATTTCAAGTGAAGTTGCAGTTCTGACAGCACTAAGATTTTATGCCACAGGCTGTCACCAACGAAGTATTGGGCAATACTATAATGTTAGTTTAAGTCAAACAAGTGTTCATAGATGTATAGGTACGGAAAGTTACGGATACCATTGATGAGCACTTGGGGGGACAATATATCTGCTTTCCACATACTAGAGAAGAGCGACAACAAATTAGAGCGGAATTTATGCATAGATTGCCATAGATAGCATTTTCCAGGGTAATTGGTACGGTAGATGGTATCCATATAGCCATCCTAAAACCACAATTAGAGGAACATAATTTTATAAATCGAAAAGGATTTCATTCTTTAAATGTACAAATAATATCAGATCGTAATCAGAAAATTAGGAATGTTAATGCCAACTATGGCGGCTCAACACATGACGCATTTATATGGCGGAACTCTCAAATTCAAGAATATTTACAGCATTTGCATGCCACTGGAGAAAGAAATGGATGGTTATTAGGTGATTCCGAGTATCCACTCCAACCTTACTTATTAACGCCTTTTCCACAACCGAACGGCGATGAAGCAAATTTAGCTTGTAATAATGCCCATGTTAGGGCAAGGAATGTGGTTGAAAGGGCCATTTGCCTTTGGAAAATGAGGCTACTTTGGTTTAAAAATAGTGCGTATAAGTCCTAAAGCAATGAGCACTTAAACAACTGTAACAAAAGCACACACTGAAATAGGAATTTTGAAGACAAACATCAAAACAAATTAACGTAAATGTTAAATATGACAAATCTTGGTAGTATTGACAACTACCATTATCGAAATCCGAATATACACGACGATAGTGGATCAGAATTTCCTTTGTCGTCACTGGTTATCGTGTATCGAATGTCGTTTTGTCGTCGTGTCGTTATCGTATCGTGAGTTCGGAATCCGGGCCCAGTTCAGGATTTCCTTTCACTGTGGCCGATTTTTGAACACGAAACCAAAACTTATTTTTAAGTCATAAACAGTTCCAAGTTTTTGGTTTCTGTTCCGGAGTCGTTCGTAGTAAAATAAAATCGTGAATGGGGCTCAAAATCAATCATTCGCTCTACGATAATTCCGAATTGGTTCGGAATGAATGTGATCCGCGAACAAGGCTAGTTAGTGCAGATAAGGACAAGATACCAAGCATAAACCGACTTTTCTCGACGAATGTAGTTCATCAAAGGACGAACCATAGTTCGTCTTGTGATGTCATGAGTTTGAACGCTGGCTAGAAGCTGCGTCTATCTTTCCAGCGAACTACGATTAATATGACGTCATGAGTTTCTCGCGAAAGCGTTTGAGTTCACTAAATCATGGAAGTAGTTCGTAGTTCGTCGCGAAAATTTGGTTCTATTCTCGGGCACAAACAGTACTGGAAATTATAGGCAGTACCAAAATACATCGTTTAAGGGTTGTGTAAGGGGGTAAAACTAATAATTGCGATTCATCGAAAAAATTGTTTTTGTGAAAATTTCGAGATTTCCACCCTAGTCTCGGGCTCAAACAGTACTGGAAATTATAGGCAGTACCAAAATACATCGTTTGGGGAACCTCACTTGACTTGCAAATTACTTTGAGAGTGGTTTAAGGGGGTATATAGAACTAATAATTGCGATTCATCGAAAAAATGGCTTTTCTGAAAATTTCGACATTTCCACCCTAGTTTCGGGCACAAACAGTACTGGAAATTATAGGCAGTACCAAAATACATCGTTTGGGGAACCTTACTTGACTTGTAAATTACTTCGAGGGTGGTTTAAGGGGGTAAAGCTAATAATTGCGATTCATCGAAAAAATGGTTTTTGTGGGAATAGGGATATTTCCACCCTAGTCTCGGGCACAAACAGTACTGGAAATTATAGGCTGTAGGAGAACCTCACTTGACTTGCAAATTATTTTGAGGGTGGTTTACGGGCGCAAACCGCAATTCAATATCTGCATTCGTTTTCAAGTTGTGCAAATAGCTGGTTTCCATAATATGGTACATACCTCTCGACCTTAGTGGGACACCCTGTACAGGCCTGGCAAGTCAGTATCTTATGGGCCAATTTTAATGCAATAAACTGAAATGTCTAGAAAAAGTCCAAAGTTAAATAGAGAACGAAAACGCCGAGTTTTCCTGTTCCACCTCCAGAATGGAACGCTGGGAGTGCTGGAAGTGGAACAGAGGAAATCGTTCTTGTGGCCCATAAGATGCTGACTTGCCAGACCTGTATAGGGTGTTTTTTGTATGTACATGATATTTAGGAAAACCTTTAAAGAGTTTGTTGTGAGAATTTGTTACTTGAGATATATCTTAATTTACCAAAACCAAATGTCTTGGGCTCATTTGTCTTCATCCTACCAACTGTAATTAATCCAATCTAGGTCCAAGTTATTCGTCTTCACAAAGCCGGAGGAGGTATGGGCTTGTCAATAGTTGCAGCTAAAGGAGCGGGACAAGAACGTCTAGGAATATACATCAAATCCGTGGTACCTGGTGGCGCTGCTGACAGAGATGGAAGACTGGCAGCTGGAGACCAACTTTTGTCTGTGGACGGCCAATCACTGTTGGGCATTACTCAGGAAAAAGCTGCTGAGTTCCTGGTTAGAACCGGGAATGTTGTCACGTTGGAAGTAGCTAAAGGTGGCGCTGTGTATCACGGTTTGGCGACTTTGCTTCAACAACCTAGTCCCACACCACATAGAGGTAAGAAATTGTAAATTTTTTATTATTTTTATTTATTGATAATTCTAATAGGAAAACTTCCAAAATACAATAGAATTGATCGAAAATATCGGAAACATGGGAGATATATTTTAATGATAGGTAATTGTTGTTGTTGCGAAGTAAAATGTAGAATATACAAAGCAAAAAAGATACAACCTATATAAAATATTTAAAAGAAACAGACAAACTTGAAAAACAGTATCTATTTTTTAATTATTTTATTTAGGTGTTTCTTGTTCTGAATACCTTAATTTAATGCTAGAGTCAATAATTTTTGAATTCCCCATTCCATAACGCTAGTTTTCTCTTTTCTTTACATGCAGCTTATAACCAGGATTATTACCACAATTACAGGAGTCCCATGGGATCAAACGAGTCCCTTTACTCGAACCCATCAGGAAAACATATTTACACTCCGCCCATATACAAACCGAAACATAATATTTTCTTTTGCTCTGACGATAGCCTTTTTAAAACGGAAAATCGAAAATTTGTAATACCGAGAATTGAAATCCAAAGCGACGAACCAGTTTTTAATTTACAAATTACTGATTTTAGTGAGGCAAAACCTAAAAACGTTACATTAACTTATGATGATACTGGTCAAAATATGAAATTACACAAAGTTGAGGAATATAAGCCCAAAACTAAAGCACAAGAGTTTGCACAAAATAAAAGCTTCTCCATCGACGTAAATAAAAGTTGCGTGGACATAAATTCCATAACTGATACTGACAAATTCTTGAGTATTGCAACCAAAAAACTCTCTCGCCAAAAGGCTACCTCCACATCTATGATAGATTTATCAAGTTCTACTTCATCAATGAACAGCATTTACGAATCGAATTTAGACCTAAGTCAAATTGATCCTGACACTCCCTTGAAACATTGGAAAAGTCCTTTTGAAATACGCCACGCCAAAGATTTAGAAAGAGACAATAAAGCCACAAGTGAGCCCGTTTTAAATAAAAATAAGATTGTAATGTCTAGCAGGAGCAAAAGTGTCAGCGAGGAAAATTTAAATGATAAATTAACTGAATATGAACGTTTGGAAATTTTAAAACTTTTGCACGATTGGAGTTTGAATGGCTCTGAATCAAAAAGCGAATTTAATATAAATTTGAATCGTTTTAAAAGTATTGATAATATTGATAGTATTGTCAGAGATGATAAAATTGTTAGTAATTTGGGAGAAAAATATTGTTCTGAACCTGATTTGTCGCCAAAAAGTCAAACCAGAAAGGTAGTTTTAGAAAAATATAATTCAGATACTAAACTATCAACTACCCCAATAGAGGATGATTTTTTACATAAATGCCAATATAGAAATTGTATTTTTAATAGAGATTTCAATGGGACCACTAACAATAATAATATTGTAAAATTAAAAAGCATTTTAAAGACTAGTAAGGAGAAATTATTTGAAGTAGATTCCAACGATTCACTTAAAGAAAACGAATGCTTGAACAATATTGTCAACATAAAAATAAATAATGAAACACCCAAAAATGTAAGACGTCATAGTGATATAATCGAAACTAATAAACTAAACAACGAATTAATCCGCTGTGATAGTTTGGAGCGCCTTACTCAAATGCGTAGACCCAAAAAATTTCCCGAATCCTACATAGTATCACGAAAAGGTGGGTTTAGGACTAGACCTAAAAGTCCTAAAGTTATAGTGTTGAAGAAAAAAATCCTGCCTAAAACATGGAAAAGTTGTTCAGATATTAAACCTCGAAAACAAGTTAAAAAGTGTTGTAAATATGCTAAGAAAAGCTGCCCGATTTTAAAGAATTCCTTTGATTCACCAAAAAAAGCTAGAAAAACTAAAAGTTGTGCTTGTATTAGCGAGGAAAATATTTTAGAAAGCATCAACACAGACGAAGAAACTAAAAAAGTTTGTTTTGCTGAAGACGATAGTCAACAGGACAGTTTTGACTCACACTGTGGCAATCAAATTATTCCTATGGGCATTCAAAGGCCCGGATTTGCAAAACAATACTCTTTGTGCAATAAAACTCCCACAAACACTTTCTTCAGACAAAATACAGTTCCTGAAATATCGAGTTACTGTCAAAACAACGAAGACCCGTTCCTGGACCGTTGTTTTCATGGTGCCCAGCAGCAGCAGCACGCTTCTGCTAGGTTAGCAGTTGGTTTTTCAAAACCCATCCCCTTCTATGGCTCTGCTTGTCTTGTTCTTCGTAAGATTACGATATTGTCTTGCACATCACAATTTTTGTTTTCAGTTTTGAACCAATATATAATTTTATTAGAGAGAAGTTTATATTTGAACTTGTGGCCTGTATAAACCAGAAATTTCATGTGTCGCTGACATATTGTGGTTAACTTGGCTAGAATTTCTAATAGCGTTTGTTTGAATGGAACCTTTGTTTAACAAGTTTAGGCCTCTAAGAAATTATTATTGGTCATTTTTGTTTTTGTATATTTATTGCTTCTTATACTGGGTGGATCATTTTAGTAAATCCAATCTGTAAAACCTCTTTTGGCTCAAAAATGAAAAACATTCCTGACATGGAGTATTTTCGGAGGGGAATCCATACATCTTCTGTATACAGGGTCCCAACTATTTCATAGGGACAGCATTATTATCTCGGGAACGGTTAAAGTTGCCAGGGCGTTTAAATTAGAAAAAAGTTGCCATTTTTGAAGAATATTAAAAAAAATTATACTTCTGAGCTTAAACTATGTTTCTAAAGTCAATAGATTTTAAAATATTTGATGAAATTGTTCTTGCTAATTTTCAAAAATCAACTTGTATTTGCGAAACTAATAGTAGAGTGCCCAACGGATTTAAAGCCTCCTAAAAATGAGTTTTGTAGGCGCCTCGGGGTTACAAGCTGAAATTGCACAGAATGAAGGTTTTATAATATTAATTCAAAATCCCAAAATAATACAAAATCAGAACTGGCAAAAGGGCAGTATGTATATTTAAAAATTGAAATTATTCCACGAACGTATAGAATAGTCATTTATGACTGTTCTCATATAAAATTTATCTATATTTTTGTACAAATTATATTTTTTATTATTGCTTGAAATAACTTAAATACATTGACCCTTACAGCAAAGTTTACCTTACGGTAAAATAAATCTAAAAATTGAAATATTTCCGTTAAAACCTGACCAAAATCTGATGGAAATTTACTAATTTTTGAATTCACCTCGCATTATCTCCGAAATGAAGGCTCAAATCAAAAATTTCTTGCAAAAAGTTTGCCCCATGTATCTAGAATATACAGGGTGTCCTTAGATAAAATGACACATTTTGCAAGTAAATTTCTCGAAAATGGGAAAAGATAACGAGATTCGGTTTGTTCTGGGAGAATAAGGGATAAGGATCAGGCAGTATGTAATTACTTATTCCAAAAAATCGAATGTCTGTGAAACAAAATTTCAGAATTCGGCAATATGTACTATGAAAAAAAAACTTTAAAAAATCCTTATTCTCCTAGAACAAACCGCATCCCGTTGTTTTTTCTCGTTTTCGAGATATTTACCTGCAAAATGTGTCAGTTTATCTAAGGACACCCTGTATATGTGCAAAAATTATTTGTTTTGTCTTAGATTTTAAGGGAAATATAGAATTGAGGGGGATCTAACTATATACACAAATATTTATAGAGTCGGCTGATAACGGATTACAGCTTTATTTTTCAATATTTAAAAATAAATCTTTTTGGAATGTCTAGAAACAACAATTCTAAAGGTTTATTTAAGAATAGAATTTTGATTTTTTTTTTTAGTTGAAGCTTTGGCAGAGTTCTTCAAATGTCGAAATATGCGGTTTTTCACTTAATGGGGAAAAAATAAAAAAGTGTCCTAAGATAAACTTAGATTCATCCCTTAACAATATTATGAACCAAGAAAAAAATAAATATTTTCAAAAATAAGCTTGTAAAACGTTATCAGCTGAACCTCTACAAGCGCAAATTTGAACATCGTCATGTGGCGCCTCTAACGGTAAAATACGCATAGTTTGTATAAACAGTGGGTAATTTTCGCACGGACTTAGTAAATTTATAATATTACTACTAACCTGAGAAATAGTCATTATTCAATCTATTTTTCTAGGAAAAAATTGAATTTCTCTCTCTAGGGGAATTATCTTTTAAAAAAAAAACAGACTTTATATATTCCTCGGTAGAGAAAGTCAGTATACCTTACGCATTATAAACCTCGGCGCTTCGCGCTTCGGTTTATAAAAGCGCTTGGTATATAATGACCAACTTTTCTACCTAGGTATATAATATACTATTATTTTAAACCATATTAGACTATCCAAAATGCTGTCAAACTTGAATTAAAATGGCCGCCAAGAGGCACACAAACCCTTTGTTTATGTGTCATCAAATTTGTCATCAAATAATGTATGAGCTTAAAATAGGGCTCATTGTGAATTATTTAGGTTTTGATACTTAAAACTGTTATTTTCATTAATGTTAGAAATAGTGCATTTGAATAGTGTATGTAAATAGTAGTAAATAGTTCTCAAAAACGCGAAAAACATGCCTACAACGTGTTACAGCATTAAATGTGGAAGTCGTGGAGATCGGCACATTCTTAATTTTTTTCAAATTCCAAGTGAAAAAAACAATACAAATCAAAACACAACACAACACTGTACGGTGGAGTTGAAATAAATAAATATTTTCCCATCAAGGGTAGATCCTGCGTGTCCAAGTGAAATGCAGGTAGAGCAACCTTGCCCAAACGATAAGGATTGCGTAATTGGGTAGAAACTGGCAAAAATTGGGACGCACACAATAGAAAATAGAGAATTATGGCACTTTCCAAATAGTGATCGATTTTATTACTGATCGGCCTTATTTAATTACTGACAGTCACTATTTCTCATAAATAATAGTAGATTATACCACGAGTCAATAATGATAGCTATTATTCCCGAGGATTCTTACGAACTGAGCCGCGTTAGCGGCGAGGGAGTAACATTC